TTTTTTTTTTTTTAAAGTAACGCAATAGTTACTTTTCAAGTAATTAATTACTTTTAGAATCTTCTAACTCACTAACTCAGTTACTTTTTTGAAGAAGTAACTAGTAACTAAAATTAATTACTTTTTCAAAGCAACTTGCCCAACACTGGTAATGCTGCCCATGTTTATGGAACAATTACGAACTTGTAAATTTACGTAACGACCACACGTGTTGTCTTTTTGTTTACCTTACTGCTTTGGCATTTTTACAGGTTTTTATGAAGTCCTATCAGGACATGTAGTCAGAGTCAACGAGTAATATAAGGGGAGAAATCATGCGATTATATGTCATCATTTGAAAGTGTAAACTCAGTACAAGCACTAGTACCGTTTCCAAACTGAAGGTTAAGGTCCATACGAATGAGGATGTCAAAGACAGGTGTGCCAAGAAGACGTCACCGCAAGAAGACTGAGGACGCGCAGGCAGTCTTCTGCAGAGTTTTAGTCAGTTTTAAGCTGAGGTTTGCGCGACATATTCCCGACAGCTCTCTACTGATTTAGCCCCAACTATAAGGTTTATCCAAAAGTTTTGAATCTAATCTTAAAAGAAGAGAGGATGTCTGTCTCCCAAATCCAAACTGGCAAGACATCATGGTATTAGAGAAATAACTTTCTCTCTGTGCTCCCACTGCAGCATTTTGAATTAACTGGAGGCTTTTCAGGAACTTTTAGAACAACCTCCTAATCCTGGTCTGCAGCAGTCCAGCCCCAAAGCATCGGCATCACTCGGAGACAGGATATAACTTTAGAGATGCTCTGTGGATGAAAGCAGCGCTACATATTTGTTGCTGGAGGCCAAGCTAATGCCATCCTGGTTAGAAACAATGTTACTAAGATTTTTCAGGCCGAGTAACATAATCTCAGTTTTGTCTGAGATCAGAAGTAAGAAATTAGAAGTCAGCCAGCCTTTTATGTCTTTAAGACATGACTTTGAATCAGCAGTCCAACGTTTTTTGCGCCACGTGTCGGTTTAATATCAGACGATATTTTCACCTTTAAGCTGTCTTTGATAGGACAAAGACAAAAACTGTATTTTGTAAATATAATAATAGCAAACGTGAATTCACTGTGTAATCGTGTAACTTTGTTAGCAGCGCCCTCCTGAAATTCGCAGACAACACTGAGAGTAACATCCTCCTCTCTGCCCCTTAACGCTCTCTGGTCACTATGGTAACGTGTAAATATTTCTTTCAAATTAAGAGACACAGCTACACCACGGGAAAAGACCCCGGGAAACAGAGTTAACCATAAATTTCACAGCTGAGCCCAACTCTCCCGGCCCGGTACCAAACGGCTCACAGACCGGTACCGGTGCCCTGGTTGTTGGGGACCGCTGCTTTAAATTGGTGTCATCCAGCTTCATAGCTCAATACATCTGGGTATGACCCGCAAAAATAAAATGTATACGTATGCAATAAAATGTACATGTTTTTTTTCTTTGTGACTGGAACATTTTATTTGTGGTGAAATTCATTATTAGTTCAGATAAAACAGGTAAAAAAGGAAGACTTGGCCCTGACTGTCAGCCTGGCGACAGTGCTGAAAGAAGCCTGGGGTTATCTCATTTTACTACATCAGTAGCCAGTAGTAAAATGACCTAGTCTGTGGAAGGGTTTTTGTAGAGCTGCAAACTATCTTTCCGTGCAAAACAAAGTTATTTTAAATGAGTGCCATGTCATTTCCTCTCCAGTTTACAAGTTATCTGTCTTACATCAGGGGATCAAACCTCTGATTTCAAGCTTTCTTCAGAGGAGCCACAGTTTTCTGCAACATATGCAGTGAGGTTGTAACACGAGATATTTGACTTCTGAGAATAACATTTACATAGCTGCTCTACATTATTGTGGCATATTCTTCCACTGAAGAAGATAAGAAGGAAGCACCTTTAAAAAAATTATTACCATGCTTTTTATTGTTTTTTAATGTCTCTGTAAAGCACTTTGAATCACCTTGTTGTTGAATTGTGCTATATAAATAAACTTGCCTTGCCTTACAGCACTGTCCTAAAAAAAAAAGAAGAGTGTACTGAAACTGTGCAGTCCATTACTGTAAAATGGACGTTACTGTCCAGACAGATTTGGGTTATTGGTCAGTTTCTATGTCGTGTGTGATCAAAACAGTCAGTCAGTTCATTCATATTTAGCAAAGAGTAACAATGCAGTGTAGGGGTTGTCATTTGGCGCATACACGTGAATGTTATGAGCAACAATTCAGGTAAAAAGTCTAAGAAATCAGGCAGAAACAAAACCAAACTTCTTCATGTGTTAGAGGGTAACAAGGCCAAGAGTGAGGCTTTCAAATGAATCATGAATCTGTCAAATTATTTGGATTTCTTGATAATTCTTTGAGTAAAAATTTGCTGCCACTCGTCCTCAGCCTGTGCTGTGAGGACCCAGATAGCGGTTTAGCAGAACTCTGGGAGGGTTATTCATTTAGACAAATTCATCCAGCTGCAGCCAGGTTTTTGAAGGAAAACAAAATAAATCTGTATTTTGATCAATTATTAAATCATTTATTAACTTAATACTGGATAGTCCACATTTGATCATTTTACTGTTTGAGTCAAAAGTTCTATTTAGCTGATCTGGGAACAGACACGGACTCTGGGGACTAGTGATGTCATTCTGTTAAAATACATAATGGCAAAAAGAAAGTAGCCCTCGCAGTCAATCACGATCACTTATGAGAAGTTTAAAGGCCTCAGCTGCTTATGCTGTGTATCTTAGACAAACTATACAGACTTGGTGTAATTTCCCCGGGTACACTCTGTGCTATGAGGCCTGATCAGACATCCACAATTACTTTGCTTCCACATCTGCAGCGTTATTGTTTGAAACGGCTGTTTTATGGTTGTGATCAGTTGCACAACTGTGGGATTTGTCTGTGCGTGACTGCGACTGAAAAACTTTGTGAGTGGTGATAGTTTCCATCTTATCTATTTTAATTCTTTTTATCACATTATCCCTCTGTTCAGCACTTTGGCCGACACTTGATGTCTTTTAAATGTGCTATATAAATAAAGATGACTTGACTTGAGTCACTTGGATGAGATGAAACGTTTCTCCCACTGACACTGCTGTGTGCAGATGAGCAGAATCAACTGTCCTGGCCTTTAAGGAACCACATCTAGCACTGGATATTTCATAATAAAAAATAAAAACAGAAATCTTGTTCCAATCCTTTGTTTGTTTGTTTGTTGTTATTGTGAACTGAAAAGCTTGTGGACCTGAAACTAAACGATGAGGTTTCCCTCTTATCTTCCACACAGGGATTCCATGTCTGTCTAACTTTAC